CAACATAATGAGATCCTCAATTTATTAACGGTCAATTTAGACTAATTTTTTTCTTCTGCCAATATTATGCTAAAGGACCAACAGCCTTTTCCCTTCCTGGTGTTTATTTCTCCCTTACTCCTACCACCCTAGGTACTTTTATGCAGCAATCATCTCCCTCATAGCCTTTGTTGTTTCAAGGGGCTAATCCATCAGCATCCATGGGCTACAACAGGGTTTGGATAAGGGGCTTGCACGTGCACAGGACTGACACCATTGTCTGAGTCCAATAACGTGCTATGCATGGGGGAAGCGCGTGTAAACTGGTGGGTGTAAATGCAAAGCAGGTGGAATAAGGCCAAATGAATCTTTAAGTGAATGCTCCACCGTTGACTTCAATAGTTTTACTCCCATACACCAGGCTGAACATGCCCACCTGGCATGCATAATGTGACTCCATCTGTTTGTGTACGCCTGGCAGTTTGTGAAGGGTGGCCCCAGGGGCCAGTGCAGTGCTGTCTGTATGAGTCAGCCAAAAAAGGCAGTAACTTAATGCAAACTCCATTCTTACAGAGCAGTCTTCTTATTCAATCAACCCCAGCCCATTGGCTGGCCACTGGAATAGTTTAAACTAGGGTAGCAATTAGTTACAAGTTAGCCTTTTCTGTGACCTTGTAAGAGAGGAGACAGGGCTCGCTTGTTTGAGAGAGAGAGAGAGGGCATTGAGGTCTGCACAAATGTGAATTTCAGCAGAGGCTCACACAAGACAGTACCATAGAAGATGGTGGGCAACAAACAGAAGGCATCCACTGAAACAAAAAATTGGGAGTAACACCATATATTCATAAGCATATTCACATTAAACCTGGTCCTTATTGCTAGCCAGGGATAAGCACACCTGGGCTTCTTCTAGTCATTAACATGCCAAAGTTTCACACCTCAAATGCATGTCAAGAACAACACTAGAGGCGTCATAGAAGGCACAGACACTTCAGAGAGGTTTTCATTTTGTATCCTCTCAGTTGTAAATAGGTCAGCTCATGATTTATGCTCTGCTTTTAGGATCACTTTGCAGAATCAGGATTTAGAAGGGCATGTGTAGAAAGAGGAGCTGTCAGGCATGCAAAAAAGCTGGGGTCTAGAGCAGCCGAGGACAAGAGGAGCTGTGTAAACCTGCTGCTGCCTGACAGGTCTAGGCATATCCCAGCCTTTGGCCCTTTGCTTACATTTAAGGACACAATTTTGTCTAATAAGCCCTCCCCAGATTAAACTGGAGGGCTTGTAGTAAGAGTCACATTCTTCCAAGGCTCCTTGAAGAAAGAGAGGTATAAAGATCCAGTAAACAAGGTACTGTTCAGATAACAGAGGTAGCAAGAAAAAAAGCTTGAAACTCATTATGTGGATGCCAGTCCCACATGGCTGGACTTGCAGGACTTGTTTGTAGTGCTAGGGTTTCAGACTGGCATTCTATGGAATTACTTATCAAGCCCAACTGGGGGCCAGAGGTAGGGAAGATGTGACCTAAACAAATGTTCTTTGTGTGAGAGTGGGAGTCGACTCTCTCCATTTGGTTTCAACACCGTGAGCAGCTTCTGTCCGGTACCTTGTCACATTAAGGGCACTGACAGAAGTGACTTTTTGTCATATGATCAGCCCCCTGAAAGTGCTCTACAGCCATGCCCCAACAAAAGCATACAGCTGCAGAGTGCTTAAAAAGTGCCTGTATTGTACAACAAATTAACCCTCAGATACTGAGAGTTCAGATGACAGTGCTCCAAAGCACAGCACCTTCATTAACTTCGGTCAGTCCCTGTGTGAGAGCAGGACTGACCTGATGCAGCCCAGCCCCACCCCTGATGCTGTCTGCAGGACAGGAGAGGAAGAAAGGAGGGGGAGGGAGCTGCAGGCTGGGGTCTGCCTAGCTTATGCCAGAAAGGGGGGGCAGGTGGATTGGAAGCCTGCCCCGGAAGGCGGGGGGCTCCAATCTGCCAGCCCACTCATTAGTACAGGTTGGGCAAACTCCAGCCTGCAGCCCTCCCCCTCCCATCCTACAGACAGCACTTGACGAGGTAGTGGGGGGAGGGGTTGCAGAGAGGCAGTGCCTCCTGGATCAACTCCAAAGTGGAGCTTGATTCCTAACTCCTCTCATCACCTAACAGCAAACATCAGTTGGGTTGCAGCGAGTGGGAGGTGCTGTAACTCATGGCACTTTATGTAAAGCATCATGAGTTACGGTGGGGAGGTGCATGTCTGTTGGCACCCTAAGTCATCCCATCAGGGGAAGTGTTTAGAACCCAAGTCGTAGAAATAGGGTGGACGAGCATTGCCTAATGCAGCCAAATCAACTTTATTTTACTTCAGTGTCTAATAGCATACTCCATTCAAGTTGCCTGGTTTTGACAAACAGATTACTGTTGCTGCTTTGGCTTTGTGCTTCAGTTAATTTGTACTAGTGCTATGTGGGGATCCAAAATCATGGATCAAAAGTCCCAATGCACTAGGTGTTGTAGACCCATGGGGATAGTACCTGCTCCAAAGATCTCCATCTAATAACCATCTTACTAGATTGGAGAAAGTCTTTCAGCAACAGCCAGAAGTACAGATGAGAATTTGGGGGTGCCCAATACATTTTCTGTATTCTGCACTGGACGAGAGCTGTGAGGTTCAGCATCCTCAGTCAGACCTAGGCTTCCAAGAGAGACTTATCACCAAGTTCCTACTCAGTTTGTGATCAGTCTCTTGCATCTGCCAGGAGTTTCTCTGTACATCTAACTAGTGTGGTCTCAGGGATACAAAAAAAGGTTAACCTAGATCAATTCTTCACTTGCTCATCACAATACCAAGTGGCACCACTCTGCTATCTCTGTTCAGAACCTGTATGGCACCAAACTATCTTGACTCCACATGCTTTGCTGACAGTTAAGTCTCAGATGCATGGTATGATATACACAGCATTTAAAGCTTCTGTTGCTCATGCGGACAAGAGAATCATGACACTGGCCACAGCCAAAAGGGGTGTTCTAGAGAACTGCCCACAAAACACCAGGGGTGTGTGTGTACAAGACTAAATACAACACTGGAGGCGGTATAGGCAGTGTATACCATTGTGGCAAGTGATCTCTGTCTAGAGCCCACAAGAATATACAGGAAGTCCTAAATACAGAAAACATGATGATTTTCTCAGCTGGATAGGCAAGCTGTATATAGTAGAACCTCACAGACTAAAGCACTACATAATTTCTGGATCCTCTGGTCCAGTCAACAAGTCTTGGACAGAAGCTAGTTCTTAGTGAGAAAAAAAAAAAATCTAAAGGAAAAGGAAACGCTATAAAGACAGAGCTTATTTCCCCATGCCATTCAGTGTCACAAGCAAGCAGCCTAGTTTACTTGGCTTAGGGGGACATTATGCTGTGGAAGTCGTTACTTTATCGGAGATTACATTAGCTGTAATACCTAGTGAAGACTATTCAGAGAGGTGGGAGGAGTTGGAGCTAGGAGCTCTCTCCAACATAAACAAGTTGCAAAAGTTACATCATACTTTCTGCTTGGACCTAAAGCAGCACCTCAAATTCTGACTTTTTACTCCATGGGTTAAATAATCCATTTTCAGATCTAAACAATCCCCTTGTTTTAAAACCAGCTCAAATATACCCAGATGGGCCCATTTTGTGTAACTGGTTTGGGGGTGGTATGAGCTGTAAGAATTTTCCTGGGAAAGCTGATGTCATTTGAGGCTTATCACATCAGCTGTCAACCAAGAACCCGAACTTTACCATAAACTCAATCCAGAGACAAGGCAAAAAAACTGACCTGTGTTCCAGATAATGCTACTTCTTCAGCACATATATAAAATATACAACCCAGTAAAATAGTGTTCTGTTGTGTTGCACTATGTCACGGCAGGGTCCTGCAGGAGGGCCGTGATCTCCTCAAGGCCCCCTTCCCGTGCCAAGTTGGCTCAAGGGCACCCTCAAATTCTCGCCCGCCATGTCTTTGATGTTCCAATATATTAGGGAGGCTGCCTTATGTCTTTTTGGACACAGTCCGCTGTAACCTCTGGCCCTGTAGACTCCTGGCCCCTTTGTGGGTCTTGTCCTTCAAACGGGTGCTTTGGGGCACCCTAGCCTTATGGGCTATGCGTGGCTCCAACCACCCCTTTCACCGCGCCCCAAGCCTCGCAGCTGGAATAGACGTTGTTCGTGGTCTCTGTCTCCCTCTTTCCACGCCCTCTCTCGGGGGCCTTCTCTGCAATGCCGCCCTCTCTCAGGGCTCGCCAGCAAGCTGTCCCCTTCTCTGGGGTTCACCACGCCCGCACTGGGGCTTCTCAGCTGGCCCTCTCTGGGGCTGGGGTCTATACACCCCAAATACTGCGCCCTCACCAGCGCTGGGGTCCTCACACTACCGTGAGTCCCCTATGAGGCCTCCTCCAACCCCTAATAGTCTCTCCCAAACCACTGGTGTGACAACAAAACAAAACACAAGCCCCTAGGCTACAACATAACTTAAAGCCGCCCGGCTAAAACCACGTTGCTCAGACATCCTAGAGCTGCCATCCTTTACTTGGCTTGAGCTGTACCTGCAGTCAGGCTTCTTCTTGCATCTTTGCTCAGGGAGCTCCTTCCTCCCTGGCTGCTGGCAGGGAACTCCCCCTGGCCTCAGCCCCTAGGGTTTATAAGGGCCAGGCCCTGCCCCTTACAGTCAGCTGACTGCTGGCAGGTGTGGGTCACTTGCTGACTCCCGTTGCCCTGGCAACTAACAGCTGAGCTCCTTATTCACTGCTAGGGCTCCTTCCCTAGCAGTTTCTCCTCTTTAGGAGCAGGGCACCTCAGTCCTCTGCGACACACTGCATAAGTAAATACCTGCTCATCCCTCTGTTGGTTGGTCAAAAAAGGCAAAGACAGGACATTAGAAAAGAAAACAGGAAGATACTGGGTGGTATCTCCTGGTATTAGTTTGCTTCCCATCCTTCAGAAGATCTGATAACTAGGTAAAGTCCCAAAAGGTTCATTTGCAGCACTTACCTGAGCACCTCTGGAGTAGGATCTGAAAATGGTGCAGAATCGCCCCTGGCCAGACGTGTCCCTGGAACAGAGAAAAATGCATCAAACCCAAAAGTCTAAAAAATCCCCACACATTTCATTCCCATAGATGATGCTAATGGGATACCAGTGCTGACCTATAAGAGAGTCCTCAGTGTGGATCTCTGCACTATGCACAGTACCTTCCTGCTGCTTCGCAAGCTATTTCCCCAAAGAGTTTGAATTTAAATTCAAGCCTTTACCCCAGAGAAAGATTAACTTCAAGTTAGAACCCATATGTACCATAAAGGTTACTTCCTATAGTCATTACCAGGGGGTCCAGGTTTTCTATTCACCATAGAAAAGTGTGGTAAAACCCAGATTTTAAGGAGAAACATATGGGAAATGGAGGGTTTCCCCTTGCAGGCTGACAGAGTTGCAGTCTGCAAAGGGTCTGGGGGGAGCAGGAGAAGGGCAATCAGGCAGGGGGCACACACGCATGTGGCAGTGAGGCAGCATGAGCACAGCTCCTGAATGTAAGTGGAGGGAGGGGGGAGGGATTGAGGCCCCCATAGTGAGGGAGGTAGGGAGTTAGGTAGGGCTGGGTTGCTACCCAGCCGGGGTAGTGAGTGGAGCCTGGTGTTTGGGGTCCAGGCTGGGAATGAGACAGAGCTGCGGGTGATTTGTGTGGGGGAGGCAGCTCCCTACTGCTGCACAGACTCCTGGGGGTAAGATGTGGGGCATGTGCCCCCCCCCCCCCAGATTTGGCTGTGGGGTGGGGGCAGATGCAGGCTGCCTGCTGTGGGCTTGGGGCTCCCTGCCCTGCTGCCCTCCCCCCAGGGGCCTCCACAGCCCAATGCGCAGGACCCAGTATGGCAAGGAAGCTCAGTGCTGCCCCTGGGAGCTCTGCACCACCATGGTGAGGCACTCCCTGCCCATCTGGCAGCAGCAGGGGTGGCGGCACAGAACTGTGCCCTGACCTGCTGCCAGGTGGGCAGGAAGCACCTTGCTATGGCAGCACAGGGCTCCTGGCAGCAGCACTGAGCCTCCCCAACTCACTCTGCCCTGCCATGCCAGGTCCCGTCTGCTGTGGAGGCCCCTAGGGGGAGGGCAGCAGGGTGGGGAGCTGGGGGGGGCCGCCCCCCCCCCCCCCCCCCCCCTCACAGGCTGTGTCACCTGAAGGGGTGGGGGAGCTAGGCTCCATGCTCTGTTCTGCTGCAAGAGCTGCTGCTTCCCACAGGTAGCAGCCAAGGCTCAGGTGCTGCTGAGGGAAGACAGGTGTAGGGGTAGGGGGCTGTGGACCCAGGCCCCAGGCCCTGTAGCCAGGGGCCCCCTCTGGTGGGCGAAGAGGAGAGGTGTTGGGAGTGAGGGGCAATGGCATGGGAAGGACTGGCATATTAGGGCTACTCAGCCCCACAAAGCAGTGAGGGGGGAGGGGGAAGCACAACTGCAGCTGGACCTGTGTCCTGGTGAGCCAAAGGGGCAAGTAGAGCTCTATTTTCCATGATAAAAAAATCCAAAATCAAATGCCAAAATTGTATGGGTATTTAGAATTTGTCTTATACTGACCGAGGCACTGGTAGGCTTCCAAACTGCTTTAAAAGTTGTAAATATATCAATAAAACAATGTGTTCAGCTGATGCCTAGATACACACACACACACACACACACACACACACAGAGCGGTGTTTCATTTTAATCATGGAAAAAAATGGATTTGAGGGATTCTAAATCGGAGAATTTGTGATTTTTAAAACAGAGAAAACCAGGATACCTGGTCATTACACTTCTGATGGGACAACACTATCCAGGATCTAGTGGGGAGCCAGAGAGAGCTGGAGTAAATAGCAATAGGAGCCCCCTTTCTCTAGCCTCCTCCAAAAATTGAATATTCTTCTTAACCTCACAAGTTCAGAGGCACTTATGAACTAGAACTGACCTCTTGTGACAGGAGACACCTTTACATATAAACCTTCAGTGGTCACCCTGTCCCGTGATATTCCAGAGCATACTATATAGCATCTAGAAGTACAACATGTTCTGTAGCAGAGAGGCACATCAGGGTGCATTATGGACACTAGCTGCGTGAACTCCTTATTTGTAAATTTAGGTAATTCTTTTAAGATTATTTAAACCTGACATTACATTAACAGCACATCAACAATCAACCGGACATCTGTGAGATTACATGGAGCGCAGCATGCTGATCTAAGCTGTGCCTACTGAACTGCAAGTTGAGGTAAGGCTAACCAAAGAGCATGTTATGATGTCTTCCATCCCCACTGTGCATGTTTGATAATGTGCTCCTCCCACGTCAACAACAGGCACTGGGAAGCCTGATCATCCTAGATCAAGTTTCCAAGAGTTTCAGATCGACTGTATCATGCATCTGATGTGAAAGTCAGAGGTGTTTTATGTTTCAGGACAGCCCTGCCTTCAAATTTAAGCTTTGAGTGGCATATTATGGGACCAAGGAATCATTTTTAATAGCTAACTGGAGGGGGGGGTGGGCGCGGCACAAAACATACTGCTAGATTGCACAAGGAATGGGAAAGTGCCAACGTGGAGATTATATTCCCTTAGCATAAAAGGATGAGGTGGCATCCTCTGGTACACTACACAAAGCTCACCCCTCAAAAAACAAAACATAGCACTGGAGCAGGGACAAGGAAGGGTAATGAGATTGATCAAAGACCTGGAAAACTCAAAGGAGATTAAGATTATTTACTTTATCAAAGGAAGAGAGGACACAATAAAAAGGACAGTGTAATGAACAGTCTAGAGCAGTAGGGCCAACCTTTTTGGCAGGCAGGCCACGAATTAGCTCTGCACCCTATGAGTGCTATTCTAATATCTTTCCCATGCCTGATCTGTTCTCTTTTTTCTGTCCTTGCTTTACTCTGCTATGTTCCCTGTCGCCTTCCAAATCTGCTGCGTACTACATGCATATAAACTGCCCATGCCACTTGTGGCACCTGTGTCCAGGTTGGCCACCCCTGGTTTAGAGAAGGAAGATGTGATATTTCTATCTTCTCGCTCTCTTATCACAAGAACGAGATGATGTTCTATTAAGTGAGTACGGAGAGTAAAAGGAAAACTTGAATTCAAATGTTGAACATGTTACCCTGGCAAGTCACCAAAGCCAAGAACTTAATATTCAGATAGGAACTGGACATTTGTACAGATAAAGACCATGCAGAGTTATTTCAATTAACAAAAGCAATTTTGTAGGAGTACTGCTGCTGTTCCCCCTTTACAGTTCTTCCCAAGAGATGTGGGAAGCCTGTTAAATTGGATTTTCCAGAGAGGGAAGCCTGTCTAGGAATAAAGGCTGGTGTGCTGGAGGGGAAGTTACATGGGGCCATGGTGGGGAACAGGGGGCTTTGGTTACTGGGTACAAGTATGATGTGGGCTGAACATATGGCATTTGAGCAATGGCTCTTAACATGCAGACCATGGACCACCCATAGCACACAGAATTAGGCATGAAAAGCTAAGCAGAGGGAGACAGAGCAGGGGGAACTTGGTCTGCAAGACAAAATGGCGTGACCAAGTAGTTCACAGAATTTAAGATGAAGAACTGCTGTGGATTAACACCATGCTCCATGAGGCATGGAAACACATTAACTACAAAGCACTACAATACATTTTACCTAAAGATAATGCATATCATCTTGAAAGTAAACAGAAACATTATGGATTATATGGTGTTCTGCCGTGGACCATAGCAAAACAGTATATGGGGTAGGCATATGTCTGCTTGCTCTTTGGATATGCAAGGTCACTGGGTTATTCTAGAAGGAAACTAGGAGTAGGCCAGCATCTCTTGCATACAAGGGATGCTCAACCCCTGGATTGCAGGCCAGATTTGGTCCTTGATGCCATGTCATCTAGTCCATGGGGCTCCCTGCAGATCTGTGGGGAGCCCTGTGGGCCACGCCCTGATCCCAGTGTGAGGGGACTGGGTAAGGGTAGCATGCAGTTTCCAGAGTCCGATCCTGGCCAAGTGGGGGCAGCATGGAGCCTTATCTGGCCAGTGGGGCCAAAAACACGAGCACCATTGTTTTACATCATTACAAATGAATCCAAACATGTTTTCAAGAGGAAGCTATCATCTCTCTCCAGTTGGAGGCTTCAACAATAATGTTCCAAGACATTCTGGGCTGGCTGCCAGGGTAGTTTAGTAACATAACTCACCAGAGTTCCAACTTGACCCTTCTGCCATCCAGCAAGATAGTAGTGGTCTTGTAGTCAATTCCTGCAAGGAAGCCAACAAAAGCTGAGCAAACAATGAACAGGTCTTTAGAGACATACAGACACAAACTACTTTCCCCCAGTTATTGCATTCTGCTGTTCTGGGGTTTACAGAAGACACTCCTTTATCTGATATACCATCTGGTACTTTGGGAGTACCTTGAATTAGAAGTGATCAAGGAAAGACCTTCATGCCAGAATGTAATGTGCTTTGATGCAACCCTTGTGCTCCTCCACCCCACCACCCCCTTTCCATTTAGTTGTATCCAGCTCTTCCAGTCTTGGAGAAAAACCTCTTGAGATTGCAATTCTATGGAACATACTAGTTTGTGCCATGACCTGAAGTGATAGTGCTAAAAATTTACTATATGTTGAGGGCCGATTACCTAGAAAGAGTCCATGTTTTTATCAGAGAAACTTTAACTTATTTGGTCTGCAAACCACAAGTCTCTTTAAATGAAAGTGCACCCCATTTCGCAACCTCTCCCAAGGGTATTCCCTAGGGACTGATACCTAGAGGTTTAGGAGAATGATTCCACCAAATACAGTCCCCTGCATTCACAGACAAAAGGATCCGATCCCCCAAATTTACCATTGCAATCCCCTCCCTCCCCCCACCCCATAATTCATGCCAATCTGACCTAGAGGGAAAAATCCTTCCCGAATCAAAATTAAGTATTCAGTATGACCCCCATGTCATAAGACCCCTAGTCAAAAGAAGCCCCCAGACATCAGAGTATTCACTGTGTGCGTGTGTGGGGGGGGGGAGGAAGGGAGATTGCTTTTTGGACCTGACAAGGGGCCAGCAAAAGCCCTAAGACACAGGACTACCAAACAGTTTCCACCTTACAAGGACTAACTTTATCCCCCAACCTTAGGGGATCTAGCTTTACAAGCGGGACTGATTCTATGTTTCCAAGTACATGAGATTGGAACATGCAACAGAACTGACACTTATGAGCAAGGTACATCTGCCACAACAGTTTTCTTTAAGAATTAATTCAAGTTTTTGCTTTAAGTAAAACATCTCACTTGGTGGCAAGGAGGCATCTGCTTCAGTGCTACTGTGTTAGAAAAGAGTCAGTTACTCTCTCTTCATTGTCTGTGCTGCTGACTCGTAGAAATCGTAAGGCCATTCAAAGCATTCGAAACCCTTCACCATTTCCAAGTCAGTGAGCTTCAGAACCATGCACTAAAACAAAAGGCAAGTCCAGAAACTCCATCTGCTCAGTCTGCCATGAAGCCAAAAATATGCTGCCTCGCTTCAAGGCTTTGTTTCCACAGAGAAAGTGGTTCTAAGAAGTACATACTAAGGTCTGGTAAGAGTGTAAGTGTCCAAGAGTTAAAAAATCAGAGAGTGGGGGCTAATACAAGAGAAAACACAGCTTCATGTTGCATTTGATCTTCACTTGCAAAACTGCTGAAGGCTTGAGGCAAGAGCTGTTTAAATGACCTTTCTATTTTAAGGAACTTTAGATGGGAGCTCCACTCAAAGTTATGTTTTTCCAGTTTTGTGTGAAAAACTGGTTTTACAGACTGCCTAGGAGTGGTAATGCTATTTTACCTGCCTGCTCCTTATTTAAAAGGTTTTGAAAATTCACTAAGGGCTTGATGCCATATTAATATCAAGCCTGGAATAGAAGACATTTGCTTAAACAAGGGTCAGCAACCTATGGCCCACAGGCTGGATCTGGCCCATGAAGCTAGAAGACTTCAGTAACATTTTAGCAGAGAGGGGGTTTTGGGTGGCAGCAGCACTGTGGGGGTCAGGGGGAGGGGAAGTGGTGACTGCAGCTGCAGTTCTGGGGATACAGACCATGCTGGAAGCACCTGCTCAGTGCCAAGCTCTGTTAAAGCAGCCCCCTAACACCTCCAGCTGCAAACCATTGCTGACTCCTGACTTAAACTGTAAACAGCTCAGTTACTTGAAAAGCAAAAGTTCTTGGGTCTAAAGGTTAATCGTAAGCTGTGTAACCCACATGGGTCAAATAGAGCAGAGAAATGTTTGAGGAAGGATCAGTCAAAGCACAAGGTCATTTAAAGTCTTGCTAAAAGTGTGAACCACGAGTTCATTGAGCTCCAGTGTTCAAGCAGCACCAAAAATACCAACAAAAGATGCTGATGTTTGGAAACGCAACTCAATTGCCAACACCACCTCAAAAGTGTTTGAGGCCTCTGGAAAACAAAGATGATGCTGAGATCAGCAAGCTAGTTTACCTGTTGGCCATTTCAGTTTTAGAGGAAGCAGGATCCCTTTCCAGAAGCAGATGGATTTATAAGGGCTTCATCACGCCCTAACAGGTTGGCCCTTTTTGAGATGTCCAATTTGCAAGTCACTACACAGAAGACAGAGGAAAAAAGTATAAACCAGCCCCCAACATGCCAGCTGGCTTAAGGTATGGAAAAGCAGTTGGCAGCTTCTCAGTGCTGTGTTTAGGGAGACTCAAGTGTAGAAAAGTGAGTTGGTTAGTAGACTAAGCACCTCCCCTTCCATTCTCCACTTACTGTAACACATGAACCGGGTTTAACTGCATGCAGGAGTGGCAACCCTCAGACGAACCTTTCCATGCTGGGGTAGGTGGGGGAAGGAGTCAACCTTTACTTCCTGCCTATGACGGCACTTAGGTCTGGAATCTAAACAAATGGCTGTTGTGTTACCAAGTATTTACTCTCTTCTACTACAAAATCCTGCTCTAATAATCTGCTAATACACACTTTTGCCAATAAAGCAAATGGATTTCATCCTGAACCATTAACAGGGGATATCTGCTACTGGAAAAAAAAGTTAGATTTAAGCCTTGATGGGGTGCTATAAAAGCCATGATGATGATGATCTTCAATTCCAACTATTTCCAGTAGTTAGTCAGATAAAGTAAGCAGTTTACATCTTATCTTCATCCACCATGATCTAATGATCCGCACTTACTTCCCTATTAGTAACTCTCTCCAAACTTCCCATCTCCAGCTACCCATGCCTGGTTGCAGTCCCACTTCACTGAGAGAGTTTGCTTCTCCATAAAGAGGAAAAAGCTGCAGAAGGAATCAAATAAACACCTCTCCCCCCACCCACATCTTTAATTCTGACCACTCAAGACCCAGGATTACTATGCAGGATATAGTCTGCTGGGAAACAAGGCTAATTAAAAAATCCCTGTGTGCCCCCCCCCCAAACTCCAGTCTCTGTTCTGTTGAGGTGCCATCCTGCTTCATGTGCAGAAACTCCCTGCACCCAGAAAGCACTGGGATGGAAAGCTCTTTATTAGGGTTACCTATGTCTGGGTTTTCCCAAACATGTCTTCTTTTTGGGTCCTCCCACCTCTGTCTGGACAGTTTTTTAAAATACAGTATCAACAAGTATCCAGGATTTTGCTTTGCTCATACTGAAGTTTTTCCCAGCAATTCTCAGCTTGCCCTAGCAGAGAGCTGCTTGGGGCTGGGGGGAGGGTGATTGGAGGTAGGGGCATTATGCAAGTCTGCACATGCATGTGGCTGGCATGTAGCTGGGCAGGGTGGTAGGACCAGCTCAAGAAGCTACATGCAGGTAAGTCTATGGAGGACGAGGGTTGGAGGGCCAGGGTGTCTGCCCCTCCAGTGGGGGAAGGGGGCACGGGGGCCCTTTGGAGGCAGCAGGAAGCTGTGCGGCCAGCTTGGCAGCACTGGGGCCAGTGCCTGGGCTTAGGCTGGGGGGAGCAGGAGGCTGCAGGTTGTGAGTGAGGGGCACTGGCAAGGCTGGGGACCGTGGGTCGGGAGCATGGGGCACAGGCAGTGCCAGGAGACTGTGGGTTGGGAGCAAAGGGTATCAGCAGGGATAGGGGGGCTGCGGGATGGGAGTGAACAGCACCATCATTAGTCTGGGGTAGGGGCGGGTACTGTGGGTCAGGAATGAGGCAGCAGCAGGGCTGGGGGGTCTGTGGCTTGAAAGTAAGGGGCAGGGGAAGGACATGGGCATCTCACTGCCCTCCCCAATCATATTACCACCCCTCCCACCCCCACAGGTGCCCTCTTTTTTTTGAACATACAAAAAATTAGAACTCTTGGTCCCAAAAAACAACCAACTTTTTTTTCAGTGAGAAATATGGTAACTATCTTTACAGCATTCAATCGCACTGGGCAAGTGCTAAGCCAAGATGACTACAGAGAATAGCAACAATATTCTTAGGCATGCAAAAGGCACACATTTCCAGGGTACCACTAATTACTTGGCAATTGTTCCTTGTACACCCAGCAGTGCTCAATTGGCTCAGCAAGAGGTAGACTCAAACATACAAGCTACAAAACCACAAGCCCACTAAAGACAGGAAAAGCTCCATGGAACCTCTACTTTCACAAAGCCTCCTACTCCATACATGAAACATTCTGAAAAGGCATCAAATTTCCCTGTTGTGAATTTTTGCAAGTTAGTCATAGCAATAATGGTTTGATATAGTGCTATATGAAAATACACTTTGCAATTTAAAATGAAAGCTAGATGGAGGGTCTTTGGGCCTGGTCACATAACAGCAAGGGGGAAGCATCTCTAATGGGTTTGGGTTTACCCATTAGTGCCCGGCACCCATGCTGCAGAAGTGGGAGCATTATAGATGCCTAAGAGACTGGAGGGGAGGGAAGTGTGCTTATAATTAAACCCCTCCAGCCTCTCCTGCCTCACTCAGACCGGGAACTGAAAGAGCAGGTCATCGTAGAGGTACACCAGCAGCAGCTTGGAGCACCTGTCCCCCACTGCAGCCAGACTGCAGTCTCCTGCATTAAAATGTGAGACCAAAGGAGGAGATGCCTAACAGGGATCTAGCTTGGTTAACAATGCAACATTCTCCCAAGACCATCCCAAAACAGAAACCGATCAGACATTAAAATGTTTCATCTCAATTAGGAAACTGAGCTCCAGCTCCATTTCTTGTTAAGAGGATGGATGCTTGAATATCTGCTAGTGCTTTGCTTGGTCTCATTTATACATCTTAAGCAAAGGTGCACAGAAAGGAAAGCTTTAAGTCTGCCTTCATCTCT